ACAGCATTGCTCAGTGCCAGAAGATGTTGAAATGTGTCTACAACTCATCAAACATGCATCATAGTGAGGTACACATTGAAAATAGTAACACGGCACCTTTTTTGTCATCTGTTTTCTTGTTGTTCCTACAGTTAGAAGTTTGAGCTTTACTGTGCAGAATGATGCGTGTGCAGAGTTTAACACTAGAGGGATGTTTTTACATTCATCTGCTGAAAGTAGAACATTTCTCTGTGCTAACTGAAAATCAGATTTTAAGGGGTGGGGCCTAAAAGCATGATTTGTGACATCACAAATAGTTTGGAAGTCTTGTCTGGTCCAGTATGCAATTTATAAAAGTGTGGCGTAGAAACTTGAAGCCACCAGTGCACATTAACTCATAATGGACTACACTTAAGTAGGAGCCATCTAGCTAGCCTCTAGCTATATTCCACAGATTGACAGTTGTTGATGTAAATGCACCAACAAATGTAGTGATGCACAAACAAAAACCATTAAAGAAAATAAGTAAACAGATGAAATCAATTCACAGAATAAAACCGGCTTTGCAATGTTCTGTTGTTAAGGAAGAAAAGGCACTCACCATGTTTGTTATACCTAAAGGATACAGGCAATGCCTTTTTTTAAGGAACAGTTAATGTAAACACACTTTTGTTTGTTTAGACGGAAAACTTCACGAGTTATCTTTAAGATGCCTTTAGGAAATGGGGAACTACATGGTGTTGAACACAATTCTTTCTCATGGTGACAGGCCTGTGATCTGCCTCTACCTTTAGCTATTTTACAGTGTCATGGAGCTACATTGACCAACTATACATTAACAGTTGCCATGCAATCTGGCTGACCTCCTACGACTTCTCTGTGCCAGTCTGACCATATTATGCAATAGACCCACAAGTCTCCTCTTAATAGAGATTAGGGCCAGTCAGAGCCCAACCCAAAACAATTCACCAAGCTTGAAAGTGAACCTCTTCTTTAACAAGTAAAGCTTTTGAGTGTTTCACAAAGGGACTCAGTGAGAGGGATAAAAAGATCATAGTGAGCTTACTCATGTCTAATCTTCAGGCACTTCAACCAGTAAAACAGGATTTTGTTCTATAGTTTATTTAAGCAAATGTTTAATGACCCTTGCTTGCTCATTTGCAGCAATTTGTTTCTCATTCACAGTTGCACACATTCATACTTTTGTCATCCGCCACCCACGTTCCTCTTGTCACTATATATTTGTCAGACAGGGCCACAACAGGAAGAGAATGGAACAATGATCCATCAACAGCAGGAAAGGCCAAAGGAAAAGCACCATGTAAAGGGCAGATGGGATGTAATTCACTTCCGTCTCGCTTCTACTCCTCACCAAAAGTAATCGTCTTCATATGGCAGACAGGGATGATAAGCAAGCAATGTTTTAGGAGAGTCAAGTCAATCAAGTTATGTCTCAACCTCTGCATGTCATGAAGCACTTTTGTACAGGATAACAACAGTGAATGAAATCAGAGAAGTCCTTATTAAGTCATGTTACAAGTTGCTCAGCAAAGCAAAAGTTGACCCCCAAAACTCTTTAACAAATCTCAATAGATTCCTCTACATTCTTTACTTTTAAAGGAAATTATGCACAAGATGCAAATATGAAAATAAACAATGGGATCTTTGTCTTCCTCAAAACACGTGGGCTTATCTGAGTTTACAGACTTGGCAAAATTCCGTTTCGGGGTAATATCAACTGCTGAAATTACTCGCTTTAAGCAATATTATCTCTACCCCGAACAAATGCCCCTTCACCGCTTCTGCAGAAACTGTGCTATATCAAAATGAATTACAGGGAAGATTGTTACAGATACATGGAAGCCTTATCGGCTAAATTAATCCATGTGGTTCTCCATGTGATCTGACACTTTTAGACACATATCTTAGACACCAGCTCTGAAGGGAAGATGCAGGTTTAAAAAGGCCATTAGATTGTAAATTTACATTGTATAGACACGTTCGCTGCATGGTTTCTATCAATGGGAATTTCGCTGACACTACCCTGTTTCATCCCTGCAAAGTTTGTTTAAAAGATGAGTCAGTAAGCAGTAGCCATAAATTTCACAAACATCAAACAGCAAAGGAAATATCCTTTCTAGACGATCGGTGAAAAGACTAATTAAAAAGACGGAATCCCTTGAAGAAAGGCTTCTGTCATTTTGACACACAGTCAAAAACAGCAATGATGAGGTGTCGCTCAGAAAGCCCGGTCCATGTTGTGAGCATTGCCACTACCCAGCTGAATCCACCTACAGTGTGTGCTTACTATGACATTACATGTCTTTGCCAATTAATTTTAGCTTGAAAAAAAATGTTCAACAAGACTATATGCAAACATTTACAGAAAATCAAGGATGTTTCGATCTACGTTACATGTGCATTTAGTATGTAGAATAAAGCCAGAAAGGAGGTAAAATGTTCTGAACACATCTGCACCCTGCATGCTTAAAGCAGAGCAGCTGGGACTGGCAAGCTGAGCTCATAGTTGCCATTCACCGTCATTTGCTGTTCTTTGAATTCTTTGAAAACTTATGGTCATCCCTGTGGCTTTTTTGTGAGAGCAAGCACGG